ATGTACCAGGCACTGAGCTAAGTTCTGAGGATACAAATACAAGCAAAAAGAAAGGCAACCCCTTGCCCTCAAGGAGCTAAAAGGGAAGCCAAAGCAGGAGGGGAACAGGTATCCACATGGTGGCATAGTAGTTGAGTCTAGAGAATGAGACGTGCTGGTCTGGGCCCTTCCCCAAAAAGAAGGTTATGCAAAGAACTCATCAATGGAAAAAGTGACCCACAGGAAGCAAGTTAGGAGAAATGTGGCTAAGTCTAGAGAATTAGGGATGGTTGTTCTGGGACTCTTCCCCAAAATAGAAGTTCTGGGGAAAATGTGCTTTCTCCCCATATGCCCTAGTCGCATATGTTGCTTACATGCATGGCCTCCAATCATCCTTGCTTCCTAAGTGTATGCCTTTCCATGTGTGTAGCAGGGCCATTCTCTTTCCTTAAGTGTGTACCTTTTTCACATATGTTTCCTATGTGCATTCACTCTTCTCACTGATGGTGTGTGTATTCATGGGAAAGTGTGCCTCATTTTATTGGGAAATATTTTATTGTTACCTTTACCTAGAATGATGTCCTCCTCTGACTGACTATTAAAAGGAAACACATCTCTAGGGGCTTGTGAGTTATGGTTTTAGTGGATGAAAGATGCATATAGTCCTCCTCGAACCTGGGATAGTTGTCTCTGGGGGGAGGCACCACCCTGTGAGTTGTGGGGGGGCAGTCACTACATTTATATGCCTTCATGTTGCTTTCTCCAACTTCAAGGGAGTTCCTTGAAGACTATTTCTTTTTTCTCTCCATATCCCCAGTGCTTAGCATAATGCCTGGCATAAGAAAGTGCTTAATGCTTATTGAATGACTAAATATATAAATATATATGAATATGTGAACATGTAAATATATGAATGATATATACCATATATGTCCTAGAGCCATAGAATCACAGAGTTGGAAGGCACTTTGGAAATACTAGTCCAGTCCTCTCACTCTATATAGGAGAAACCTAAGAGGCCCAAGGAAGTGAATTAACTTGCCCAAGGTAATTTATATGCTCCTAAATCTAGAACTGAAAGAGGTCATATAGTCAAGCAATAAGCATTTATTGGCCCTGGTTCTATGATCCTATGTGTGACCTTGAGCAAGCAAGCCACCTCTTTCCCCTCTTGGAGTCTCAGTTTCCGCATATATGAAATGGGATATACCAAAAGTCATAGAGTCAGAAAGTTGGAAGTGAACTCAGCAGCCTCCTGGTCCAAACTGTCCATGAAAGAAACCCCTGCCAACATATGGGTTCTCCATCCTCTGCTTGAAGGCATCCTCCCCTCTCCTTCCCGCCCCCCATTTCTTTGTATTCCTAGTGCTGAGGACAGTGATTGGTATACAGTAAGGGTTTAATAAATGCTTGTTGACTTGCTTCCTGCTTCACCTCCATCTGGATTAAAACTTTCTATGAGATCCTCCCACTTTGGCTTTTCTCTGTTGGTGGCCCTGCCACCATTGGGTATGAAGACACAAGAAGACCTTTGAGGCCCCTCCCTCACCTCACTTTCTAGTATCTATAATTTGCTGTTGTTGTTCAGTCGTGTCTGACTCTCCATGAGTTCATTTAGGGTTTTCTTGGCAAAGATACTAGAGTGGTTTGCCATTTCCTTTTCCAGCTCATTTTACATTTGAGGAAACTGAGGCAAACAGGATGAAGTGACTTGCCCAAGGTCATAGAGCTAGTAAGTGTCTGAGGACAGATTTGAACTCAGGTCTTCCTGACTCCAAGCTTGGTGATCTATCCACGGCACCATCTAGCTACCAGTACTTTAATTCACTGACCCTTGCTAGTTTTTAATGAGTCCGGGCAGTGAGTGGCTAATCCTCCCTTATCAGGTACTTGCTAAGTGGGGGACCTCTCAATACTATAGGGATTTTTGAACCCCAATGGATCACATAGCAAGTTGGTGACAGGACAAGAGGGAAGCAGATGCTTCCATTTGGAAAAGTCTCAGACAGGCATGGCCCCTTGGTTTTCTGTTCCCTAAGTCAGACTAATGGCACGTCACAGACTCACTGAAATAGGCAAAGAGCTGTGGTCTGGTAGAGGGTGGCCAGTGAGCAAGGCCATGCGGGACAGAAGGCCTGGAAGCTGCTTCAACTCTAGGGCACCAGAGGAGACAAAGAGAGAGGGCAGGAAGGCAGCCAGCCCTGGCTCTGTGGGGCTGGTTAAACAGGTGCCTTTGCATTCCTTGGCGTGGAACTCGAGATAGCATTAGTGCTGATAGGGCTGGGGAGGTGGGGGTGCCTTGGCCTTCACTCTCTACACTGGCATTTGACTGGAAACAAAATCGAAAACCAAACAAATTGAGGCAGCAGCTGACTTGGGCTGGGATTTTTCTGTGGTTTGGTGTTTACAGCTCAGGGATGGAGAGGGAGGGGAGTTCCCCCGGGGAAAGGAAGTGCTGCATGTCAGACCGTTTTCATTTCTTCTTCTTTTTGGCTTCGAAAATGAAAGTAGCAAGGCCTTTTCACCTCTGGGCTTGAGTTGAGCTCTGGGCTCTCTGGACTCAATGGGCTGATCCTGTCTGTTGTTGACATTCTCACTGAACTGTCCCTGGTGTCAGATACTTTTTGGATGCACCTTGAACCTGGGGTTTAGGAGAACCCTGTACCTCTAGTTCCAGTTCCAGACATACAGCGGGAGTCTAATTGCTGAGGAGGCTTTCAGCTCCCTGATTTCCAAATGAGAATGAGAGCCTCAGAATTCATCAGTGAAGTCATAGTACAGTGGAGAGAATCCAGGCTCTGAAGTGAGAAGATTTAAGCTCAAATTCTACCTCTGAATTCCGGTGTGACCTTGGAGGAAAAAAATCATTTAACCTCCATGGAGCAAATCATTCACTTAACTACCTGGGCCTCAGTTTCCTCATCTGTAAAATTTGGGGCCTGGAGTAGGTGACCTCTGAGGTCTCTTTGATCTCTAGATCTTAAGGCATTTTGCCTCTCTGGGCCTCAGTTTCCTCATCTGTAAAATGACGGGGCCAGAGAGCTGGCTTCTGAGGTTCCTTCCAGCTTTTACACTTATGATCCTACGCTCATTTCATGAGGCAGCAGAGTGTAGTGGTTAGAGAGCTTGCCTCAGAATCAAGAAGACTTGAGTTCAAATTCTGCCTGACTCAAACTGACTGGGTTATTCACTTAACCTCAGTGCCCGCAGGCATACACCCTGCAGAGGAAGTTTCCAGATATGCACCAGTGAGTGAGTTTATCACTGCTCCTCTCCCTATTTGTAAAGTCATGAGTCTGGTCCTCTTTCCCCCTCCCAAAAAATGATTATCATCAATGTTTACTGAATTCAAGTAGCAGAATCAGGACGATAAGATCTGTGCACATGAAAAAATAATTCTAATCCAAGGGTAGGCAATACCGAGTGTAAGTGACTGTTCCAGTCAGGGCTACAGGAGTTCAGAGGTAAGGTTTGGGGGAGTGCCTGAGGATGATTCCCAAAGGAGGAGATGGATTCCACTTGGCCTAGAAGAATGAATAAAAGGGAGGAGGGCGCGTCAATGTGGGAAGTCAATATGCTGCCTTAGCTTCTAGATCCTTCCCTTCAAGATCCATGTATGTTGTATGGAATAAACTTATTTACATGTTGTCTTCCCCTTTGAATGTAAACTCCTTGAAGCCAGGGATTGTTTTTGTCTTTCTTTGTAGCCTGGGCAGTTAGCATACTGCCTGTTGACTGACCAACTGCAGAAGTATGGAAGTGGGAAATTGCAAGACTTGCTGAGTCAAGAGATGTAGTTTAGCTAAAGCAAATAGGGCTCTTCCAGAGTAGTGGGATATGTCGGGGAAGGTAGGCTGGGGCCAGATTGCAAAGGACCAACAATGATCAGCTGAACTTTTTTTTCCCCCTATAGGTAATGGGGAATGTCTGAAGACTTCTGGACAAGGGGGAGTCAAGGTGAAAGGAAAGTTATTGTGGTTGGATTTGCAGGAAGGACTGGATAGGAAGGGAGACAGGGTATGGAGACTAGTAAGAAAGCAACTGCAGAAGTCCAGGAATAGCAAGTGCCTAGTTATTTTGCAAAGGTAGTCGTGGGGTAGTGGGGGTCATCAGCTGGATGGCACATCTAGTGGGGAATTCTGAAGTGGTACCAAGGGATAGGATAGAATGGCAAAGAATAGTGGGTTCCTTCCTTTGCTCTCCAAATGGAGGGACGCCTCCCCTCCTAACTGCCCAAACCCCACCCCACTTCCATGTTTCCAGAAACCTGACTTGGACTTATCCGTTGGATGTTGTGAAGGCCTGAGTGAATCACCTCGAAGAAGAGCTCAGTTGTCAGTTCAATAACGAAAAGCATCTCGTTTTCTTTCAAAATCCTGGACCTGCTATTTTTCTGCACAGCAGTGCAAAGGTCACACGGGAAGAGAGGCACAGCGGGGAGTGGAGTCCCTTTGCAGAGGCAGAGATCTGTTGGCAGGAGGGGAAAAATACCAAGTTCTGCTCAGGAAAGGAAGGGTACCTCGTCCTTGGTTCTCCTGGGGCTTCTTCTGGGGTGCCCCTGGACAGCTCCCTGTCAGCTAGGACTGGGAGTGGGGGAAGGAAGGTGGTCTTGAGTCAAGGTCAGGCAATAGGCCAGGGAGGGGAGAGAGGAAGGCGGGAGGGCCACAGGCAGTCTCCTTGACTGAACGCCACCCCGGGGACAAAGGCGCCTGCGGGACAAAGTTCAGAGGGCCCAGAGAGTGAGGAAGGGAGAGGAAAGGGGGCGGAGGAAGAGGCCGGGCGGGGCTCAACCGCCGGGAGCTGAGGCCGCCCGGGGAGCTTGAGGGAGGAGCTCCGTTAGGCAGCCGCAGGTTGCCCCCGCCCCTGGCAGGGGGCCGCGGGGCAAAGGCGGCCAGCTGGTCAGGACCCTGGGATGCTGAAGGCGTGTCCCGGCTGGCCCGGGCAGCCGAGGAGGCGGGGCTGCGGAGCGCACCTGGCCGCGGCCAGGGTGGAGCCGGGCTGGGCCCAGGGTGACCGCAGCAGGCCGGGCGGCTGGCAACTCGGGGGCAGGCAGTGGGGTCTGGGGGCCAGGCCTTCCCTCTCCGTTTGCGGCCAAGTGCCGCTGCGTCCTGCCCCAGCTCCTGGACAGACTCGGCCAAGATTAGAAGAGGCACCACCGGAGCCAGGGAGCCATGGCTGAACCCCAAGGGGAGACGGAGCCGCGGCCGCCTCCGCCGCCTCCGCCGCCGCCGCCGCCGCCGCCGCCGCCGCTGCCGCGTCTGGTCACCCGCAACAGCCAAAGCCTGTCCCGATCCCCCAGCCTGGATAGCCGCAGCCTGGGTAGGGCTCCTCGGGAGCCCAATTCTCGGGCCTCGCTGCGGCTGTCGATGGGGATGCCAGGACGGCGGCGAGGGGCGCTACGGGAGCTGCTGGGGCTACCCGCGGGGCCCACGCGGGAGGACGAGCAGTCCCCCGCTGGGGCGGCGGCGGCTTCGGCGGCCGGCGGCCCCGGCGGGCTCTGCCTGGAGCCCCGTGAGCACGCGTGGATGCTGGCGGCCGCCGAGGGCCGCTTTGAGGCGCTGCAAGAGCTGCTGGAGGCAGAGCCCGCGCTGCTGAACCGCGTCGACCCGGTCACGGGCTACAGCGCCTTGCACTGGCTGGCCAAACACGGCAGCCACGAGGGGCTCATCCTAGTGCACGACTTCGCCCGGAGCCAAGGGCTGTCCCTCGACGTGAGTGCCCCCGGCAGCGGTGGCCTCACCCCTCTACACCTGGCGGCTCAGCAGGGCCACGACATGGTCATCAAGGTGCTGGTGGGAGCCCTCGGAGCCGACTCCAGCCGCCGAGACCACAGTGGCCACCGGGCGTGCCACTACCTGCGGCCCGACGCACCCCCTGGCCTGCGGGAGCTGGCGGGCGCCGACGAGAGCGAAGAGCCTCAGAGAGCGGCGACCGCCACGGCGGGGTCTGTACGTCGAAGAGGCCCTCCCGGAAACGCCAACAACAACTGTAGCATCAGCCGCAACAGCTGGACTGCCCGGCTGCCAGACCGAACAGACGGAGGGGCCCCGGGCGGGGAGAAGGGCTCCAGGATGACCCAAATTCAGGGATTTTTCCGGCAACTGTTCTCTCTCTTCCAAGACCGGTGAGGGACTGGAAAAGCTTGGAGATCTTCGGGGCGGCCGCGGTGGTGGTGGTGGTGGGAGCGGTGGTGGCGGGAGAGGTTTCCCCTTCACCACCTACTTTGACTCTCCCCCACCTGGGGTTCACGGCGCGGGGAGGGGAACGCAGTCTGTTGGGGTTCCTTCTGAGTGACCGAGAAACCAAATCTCAGTCTAGGAGCTTGGCAACTGCCCTCAGAAGTCCGCAGATCAGCGGCCAGAGCCTTGGCCTTTCCTCCCACCCGCCAACGCCCTCCAGGTCTCTGAGCTCCTTGGGGGAATGAGAGCTGACCTCGCTCAAGAGGGACGTGAGGGGTCGAAACAGCCCGACCCCTCCCTCTTGCCACAGTCCTCTCGCAAAATGCCTTGGGTCAGGAGGGTAGGAATCTGCGGTTGGGACAGTCCTGACCTGATGGGTCTGGCCTGGGGCAGCAGGATCTGAAGAACTGAGGAGTGGGTTCTCATCTGTGTAGGAGTGCAATTCAAGATACCAGACGAGCCATTCTTGGCGTTTAGTACGGAACATTTTCCGGGAGAATCAAGAGTTAACACGGAAAGCCCTCATGCAAGAACAGCTCCTAACTTTGTCAAGGACGGTTATAGATGAAGCGGAACACAGCAAGCAGAGTCAGTCGGGAGAGTCCGTCCTGCTAGAAGGGACTGACGCCTCCCGAACATTAAAAATGGGAATTTTCTTCTTTTACTTGCCAAGGCTGTCTTTGAAGCTATTTTGCGTGTGTGCCTGCTTGTGTATGTGTGTGTGTATGTGTGTGTGTGTGTGTGTGTGTGTGTGTGCCTGCTTGTGTGTGTGCAACGGCAGGAGGGTGGAGTTGCCCAGGCTCCCAGTGACGAAGGGACAGCTTCCTCAGGCCTCAAGAGAAAGCTCTGGTGTTCAGGAGTGGTCTCCATCTCAGCTTTATTATCAGGAGGAGAGCACTCAAGAGAAACCATGGATCTTGGAGCCATATTTGATTTCCCCTCCCTAACTTTGGAATTGATGGTTACTGGACCCTCAGGTCCAGACCGAGGGCACGAAAATCGGAAAATCAGTTGAGTGGGGAGAGGAAGGATCTAAAAGGGGAACAGGCTCCAGTCTCATTTTCCGTTATTTCAGTGCTGAGTCATACATTCTACCTCCTGGCCTCCATTGATGAAACGTATCCCGTGGCATTTTTTTTTTTTTTTGCACAGATAGGCTTTTTTTCTTCTTCCAAGTGGTACTGGCTCTTCTTCTCACTCTTTGAAGTTTAACAGTCTTTGAAGTTTAACAGCGATGGTTTGGAAAAGTGCTTGGGTTTAGCTGAAAATGAATTCAAAGCTTGACTCAGTGTGAAAGGAGGGAAAAGCAGTTGCTGGCAGCTGCATTCTGAAATATCACAGAAAGCAGACACTGGTTTTCTGAAAAATCATGGTAACATCCTGGGCATGAGTAGCCCTTCGAATGTCAGGCCTGTGATTCCTAGAATTCTCCAACCAAGTCCCGATTAGCAGGAAATTGACTCACTGTAAAATATAGGACACAGAGACTGGAAGAAATGCCAGGCAGAGTCAGCTGCCATGGGCCACCCAGCCTGATATTCTGTCTAGGACAGGGACAGCAAAGAAAGCCTTGCTTGTCTTTCTTAATGTCACCCAAACATCCTTCTGCCCTTCAGAAAGCAGTAGAACTTCTAAGATTGGCCCAAAGTGTCCTACCCACTTGCTGTTGGCTGGCAGTTCATTGCGCCAAGGGAGGGGAGAGACAGTGTACTGGTGTTCTCCAAACTCAATAATCTGAGTCATTTTTATGTTGAAACTTCATTACAAGGTTGTCTTCAGAGGTGTATATATATATGTATATATATATAGTATATATACATACATATATGTGTGTGTGTACATACACACAAATACACATATATATAATATACATAGACTATATTGTGTATGTATATATATCTACAAGGGGTATATGTGTGCGTGTATGTGTGTGTACACACACACACATATACACCTTACAGATGAGATCAAAATGCCTTTTGACCTTTGATTCCTAAACCCCTTTGAGTGGGGTCCAAAATGAACCAAATGAGACAGTGTGGCCTAATGGATAGTGTGCTGCTGGTCTTGGAATCAAAAAGAGTTGGATTCAAATCCTGTCCCTGTTACTTACTATGTGTGTGCCCCTGAGCAAGTCATTTCAATGTGGTATACTGGAATAAGCATTGTCCCTGGAGTCAAGGGACCAGGGTTCAAATTCCACTGTTGACACTTATTACCTGGGTGAACTTGGGCAAGTCACTTCTCTCTATGCCTCAGTTTCCTCATTGATAAAATGAGAGGGTTAGACTAGATGGTATCTGAAGTTCTAGCTCCAGAGCTAGGATCCTAGGTATGACCTTGGGCAAGTCCCTTCCCCTCCCTGGGCCTCAGTTTCCTCTTCTGTAAAATGAGGTGGGTTGAACTAGATGGCCTGTGAGGTCCTAGATTCCTGAGCCTATGACCTGTCAGAACCCCAGGATGGCAGCCATCTTCATAGGTGGAAGTTTCATATTGATAATGGAAATCATACTAACTCACACTTAGAATACTGTCGAGTTTACAAAATACTTAATTTCAATAACTGTGAGGTGGATGGTATAAAGACTATCTCCATTTACAGAAAAAGAAACTGAGGCTCATGGAGATGAAGTGACTTGCCCATGGCCACAGAACCAGGAAGTCTCCGAGCCCAGATTGGAGCCTAGCTCCAGAACCAGGGATCTTTCCAGTGGACCCCACTCAAGTGACTTACCTAGGGCCACCCCTAGTAAGTACCTGGGAGAGGTAAGATTGGAATTGGACTCTTCTTGACTCTTAAGTCCAGCAGCGCATTATCCACTAAGCTTCATTGCTTCATATGATCTAGTTTGGACTCTATTGAAGGGAGATTAATTGCTGCAGGATAAGAAGCATCTCACCTACATAAGGCGATACACACACATAGGCACATCTATGTATGTGTGTATATGCAGGTGTCCAAAAAGTCTGAGTGCAATGTGAAGTTTTAATGACTTTAATAGCTTAGAACTGCAGTAAGGCATTTGGGCCACCCTGTATATATGGTTACACGTATAAGCAACCTTAGAGTGAGGCTCCCATTTAGAAATGACTCTTGGATTATTCAAAGTTTGAGGATTGCTTGTGTGCCCCATTTCTCCCCTCCCTTAGAGTAACTGAGTAATTCACCTAGGGCCACCCCTTAACTGGATAGTTACAAAGGAATTGACATATATCATTTCACTGGGTCCTGACAATGCTCATGTGAGGCCGTCAGTGTTATTATTATGCCCAGGGGAAGAAATAGACTTGTAGAGGTGACAGGGTTAGCACTGCGCTCAGGGAGGTACTGAAGCCCAGGGATTCTGACTCCATATGCAGGTTCCTGAGTCTTACAGTGATCTCTGGCGGAAGTCATCTTTTTTTGTGTCATTGATTTCTTTTTCTACCCACCCACCCCCTGTTAAAAAAGGACTTTATAAAGACTTTTTTTTTTTACAAAGATTGTTAAAAACTTTTGTAACAAATGTGGATAACTGAGCAAAACAAAGTCCCACAGTGGCCATGTCCAAAACCGTATGTCTCGTTCTGCTCTCCGTCATTCTGCTCTGTCAGGAGGTGGGCAACATGATCCATCATTGGTCCTCAGAACTCAAGGTTAACCATTGCATGATCAAAGTTCTAAAGTCTTTCTTTCAGAGCTGTTTTTTCTCTAAAATGTTGTCTTTTAACTAATGAGTTATTGAGTTAAGTATTTTGTAAACTTGACAATATTATAAGTGTGAGTTAGTATGATTTCCATTATCAGAAGTTGTCTCATCCTGCTCACTTCTCAGTTGTCTCTGAAACCATCCCTTTGTCATTTGTTAGGGTGAAAAATATTCCATTCAATTCATCTACCAAAATTTGTTCAACCATCATCCAATAGGTGGGCATTCCCTTAGCTTCCAGGTATTTGCCACCACAAAAAAGTTGCTATGAATATTTTTAAAAATTTTTATTTTCAGTTCCATATTCTCTTCCCCCATCCACATCTCCTTCACGCATTGGGAAAGCAAGAAATACAATACTACCCATTATACATAGACAGTCATGAAAAATATATTTCCACATTAGCCAGGTTCCAAAAAAAAAAAAAGCAAGAGGGGCAGGTAGGTGGCACAGTGGATAGAGCACCGACCTTGGAGTCAGGAGGACCTGAGTTCAAATCCAGCCTCAGACACTTGACACTTACTAGCTGTGTAACCCTAGGCAAGTCACTTTAACCCCATTGCCTAGCAAAAACAAAAAAAAAAGTAAGAAAAATTACTAAAGAAAAAAAAAGCTTCAATCTGCACTCTGAATACATTATATATGTGTATGTATATGCATATATATATATATTTATACACACACATAATGAGTACTTTGGAGTTGTGGCGGATCATTGTATTAATCAGTTACTAAGTTTTTCATAGTTGATTTTCTTGCTGTTATTGTGTTCAATGTTCTCCTGGTTCTGCTCACTTCACTTTGCATCAGTTCATATAGATCTTCTCACATTTTTTTTGTGAAAGCAATCCATTCATCATTTCTTACAGCAAAATAGTATTCCATCATATTCATATACCATAGACTTGTTGAGTCATTCCCCAATTGATGGTCATCCCCTCAGTTTCTAATTCTTTGCCACCACAAAAAGAGCAGTTATAATTTTTTTTCTTTTTTAAAAATATTATTTATATTTGAATTCATTTAAAATTTTTTAAATTCCAAATTCTCTCCCTCCCTCTGGCTCCTCCCTCACCCATTAAGAAGGCAAGAAATATATCAACTATTGGTGTGAAATCATGCAAAACATATTTCTATATCAGCCATGCTGCAAAAAAAGGCAAGAAAAATAAAGAAAGTTTAAAAAGTATACTTCAATTTGTACTGAGAATTCATTAGTTCTCTCTTTGGAAGTGGATAGCATTTTTCATCATGAATCCTTCTTAATTATCTCAGATCATTGTATTGATCAGAGTAGCTAAGTCTTTCACAGTTGATCCTTATTTCAATATTGTTGTTACTGTGTACAATGTTCTGGTTCAGTTCACTTTGCATGAGTTCGTATTAAATCTACCCAGGTTTTCCTGAAACCATCCCCCTTGTCATTTCTTATACCACGATAGTATTCCATCACAATCATATATCACAACTTGTTCAGCCATTTCCCAATTGATGGGCATCCCCTCAATTTCCAATTCTTTGCCACCACAAAAAGAGCTTCTATAAATATTTTTGTACATACAAGTCTTTTCTCTTTTTCTTTGATCTCTTTGGTAAATAGATCTAGTAGTGGTATTTCTGGGTCAAAGGATATTTGCACAGTTTTATATCTTTTTGGACATAGTTTCAAACTGTTCACTAGAATGATTGAACCAGTTTCTAACTCCACAGTGCATTAGTGTATTTATTTTTCCACATCAGCTCCAGCATTTCTCATTTGCCTTTTCTGTCATCTTAGCCAATCTGATAGATATGAGGTGGCACCTCAGAATTGTTTTAGATTGCATTTTTCTAATCAATAGTGATTTAGAGCTTTTTTGTGTATGTATGACTATTGATAGCTTTGATTTCTTCTTCTAAAAACTGCCTGTTCATATCTTTTGACTATTTATCAATTTGGGGAATGGCTTGTATTTTTATAAATTTGGCTCAGTTCCCTATACATTTGAGAAATGACGCCTGTATCAGAGACACTTGCCTTATTGTTTTCTCATTGCTATAGCGAGCTTTTCTAGTACAGTATTGGATAATAATGGTGATAATGGACATCCTTGCCTCACCCCCTGATTTTAATTGGGAAGGTTTCTAGTTTATCCCCATTACAGATACTGCTTGCTCTTGGTTTTCTATAGATACTACTTATCATTTTAAGAAAAATTCCATTTATTCCTATGCTTCCTAGTGTTTTTAATAGGAATGGGTGTTGTACTTTGTCAAAAGCTTCTGTTGCATCTATTGATATGATCATATAATTTTTGTTGTTTTTGTTATTGATATGACCAATTATGCTGATAGTTTTCCTAATATTGTACCAGTTCTGCATTCCTGGTAGAAATCCTACCTGGTCATAGCATATGATCTTTGTGATGTATTTCTATAATCTCCTTGCTAGTATTCCATTTACAATCATTCAATTGATTTTCATTAGGGAAATTAGTCTATAGTTTTCTTTCTCTGTTTTTGCTTTCCCTGGTTTAGGTACTAGCACCATATTTGTGTCGTAGAAGGAATTGTGTCATAGTAGGAATTTTTTAAGTTTGTATAGTATTAGAATGAATTGTTCTTTAAATATTTTATGGAATTCACTTGTGAATCCATCTGCTCCTGGTGATTTTTTTCTTAGGGAGCTCATTGATAGCTTGTTTAATTTCTTTTCCTAATATAGGGTTATTTAAGCATTCTGTATCCTCTTCTGCAAATTTTAATCTCTGAAACTTTTTTTTTGTTTTTTTTTTTTCTCTTGAAGACCAGCCTTAACCCCAAATCATTCTAGTCCCAGACCAAACCCTACTTGGTCACTGTTTGGGCCCTGATTGGCTCAGAATAAACGTAAATAACATAAATAACAATTGTTTCGGTTTTCTTCAGAAACCCCAAGGGTCTTCCCCTCCCAGATCTATTTTTTTTAAAGAGGCCATTCTTTGCCTCCCCCCACCCTTTTTTTTTTTTTATTAAGCCTTAATCACTGAATAGGCACTGCCTCAATCAAACTGAGACCTGTTAAAGACCTTAGCTTGAAAAAGACAAGGTCCACCACCGCATCCTGGGCCATCTCCAGTTGTCCTGATCCATATCTGGACACTGGGCCCAGATGACTAGGGAGGAGAAAGTGAGGCTGGTGACTTTGCATGGCACTCCCTCACTTCAATTCACTTGCATGTCATGGCATCACCTCCCTGATGTCATGGTCATTTTCAAGAAGGAAAGACAAACAACAATCCTCTTCTGTTAATCTGGGCAATTTATTTTTTTGTAAACATTCATCTATTTCACTTAGATTGTCAGTTTTAATGGCATATAATTGGGCACAATAGCTCTAATAATTGTGATTTCATCTTCATTGATAGTGCATTCACCCTTTTCATTTTGTGATACTGGTAATTTGCTTTTCTTTTTTAAAAAATCAAATTAACCAGAGATTTACCTATTTTACTATTTTTTCCCATAAAACCAGCTCCTAGTCTTATTTATTAGTTTAATGGCTTTTCTACTTTCAATTTTATTAATCTTTTGATTTTCAGAATTTCTATTTTGGTGTTTCATATGAGATTTAAAAATTTGTTCTTTTCCTAGTTTTTTTTTTAGTTTCATGTCCAATTAATTGATCTGCTCTTTCTTTTTTTTTTTTATTGATTTGGTCATTTAAAGATATAAAATTTCCCCTAAGTACTGCTTTGGCTGTATCCCACAAATTTTGTATGTTGTCTCATTGTTATCATTCTCTTTAATGAAACTATTGATTATTTCTATGATTTATTCTTTGACCGATTCATTCTTTAGGATTAGATTATTTAGCTTCCAATTAATTTTTAATCTATCCTTCCAGGACCCTTTATTAAATGTAATTTTCATTGTCTTATGGTCCAAAGAGGGTACATTTAATATTTCTGCTTTTCTGCATTTGTTTATGAGATTTTTGTGCTCCAATATATGGCCAATTTTTATGAAGGTACCATGTACAGGTGAGAGAAAGGTATAGTATACTCCTTTCTATTTCCATTCAATTTTCTCCAGAAGTCTATCATATCTAATTTTTCTAAAATTTTATTCATTTCCTTAATTTTTTCTTATTTATTTTATGGCTAGATTTATCTAGTTCTGAGAGGGGAAAATTGAGGTCTCCCACTAGTATAGTTTTACTGTCTCTTTCCTCATGCAACTCATTTAACTTTTCCCTTAAGAATTTGGATACTCTGCCATTTAGTGCACATATGTTTAGTTTTGATATCACTTCATTGTCAATGATACTTTTTAGTAAGATGGAGTATCTCTGATTATCACTTTTAATTAGGCCCGTTTTTACTTTTGCATTGTCTGAGATCATGATTGTTATCCCTGCCTTTTAACCTCAGTTAAAGCATAATAGATTCTACTCCAGCCCCTTATTCTTTCTCTATGTGTGCTTGCTGTTTCAACTGTGTTTCTTGAAAACAACATATCATTGGATTCTAGTTTCTAATCCATTCTGCTACCCACTCCTGTTTTATGGATGAGTTCATCCCATTCTTTTTCTCAGTTATGATTACTCTGTATTTCCCTCCATCTTATTTTCTTCTTCTTCTTCTTCTTCTTCTTCTTCTTCTTCTTCTTCTTCTTCTTCTTCTTCTTCTTCTTCTTCTTCTTCTTCTTCTTCTTCTTCTTCTTCTTCTTCTCTTCTTCTTCTTCTCTTCTTCTTCTTCTTCTTCTTCTTCTCTTCTTCTTCTTCTTCTTCTTTTCTCTCTCTCTCTCTCCCCCCCTCCTCTCCACCCCCCCCACTGTCTCTTTAATCTGCTTTGCTTCTGACCACTGACTCCCTTAATCCACCCTCCCTTTTATCATCATTCCCCACTCCTTTCTTTTATCCCCTCCCCTCCTACTTCCCTCTTGGGTAAGATAGATTTCTATACCCAACTGCACACATGCATGCACACATCTGTGTGTGTGTGTGTGTGTGTGTGTGTATAAAATTCTTCCCTATTTGAACCAATTCTGATGAGAATAAGGTTCAAATTTTGCCAGTCCCTTCATTTTTCCCTTCCGTGTAAATGATCTTCTTTGTACGCCTCTTTTATATGAAATAATTTTCTCCATTCTTCTTCTCCCTTCCCCTTTCTTCCAGTCCATCCCTCTTTTTCACCTCTCCATTATTTTTAAAAGATCATCCCAACATAATCAATTCACACCCATGCCCTCTCTCTATGTAGACTCCTAACTGCCCTAATAATGATAAAGTTCTTTGGAGTTACATGTATCATCTTCCCATATAGGAATGTAAACAGTTTAACCATATTAAGTCCTGTATTTCTCTTTCATGTTTACGTTTTCATGCTTCTCTTGGGTCTTGTGTTTG